ACCTAAGCGGATATGTATTAATTTTAAATAGCCATCAGGATTCAAAAAATATGGCAGTGCGTAGATCACTCCCAAGTTGACCCGTTCAATCGCAGATCAAACATACGTTGCGCACATATATTTGTTTGCTATTTTTATATGACTTATATATGTACATGCCTTGCATGTACACTGAATGTATACGGCGAACGAATATGGGCACTTATCCACATAGATCACGGTTAACTCAATCGCAGTCATATGCTTGCTCGTACCCCATCAGCCCTGGCATTAGCAGCATCATTATGTATCGTTTACTTCACCCATCAACCGATAATCATTGCCTGTACGTTGTCACTGGGTCCCCTTTTTACATTACGCTCGTTCGACCGACGATGAATCTTCGAATACTGACTGAGAGATTTGGATGAGCGGATAAATCTGTAGTAGGCTCCAGCAGACATAAGCTTACTGCACGTACAAACAGCTCTTGGTCAATAGCGGGCGGTAACAGCAGTACAGTTCACTATGGACGGAGACCTCGTCTTTTAGTGTGACGCTCAATTGTTGTTGTAGTCTATTTCCCTTCCATCTTCGCTTCGCGTAGCTGTGCCGTTGTCCCGGCCTCTGATCGTGCATCTGATGGACATCATCATGTGCACCGTGCAGCACATGTCGATATTTTTGCGTTTTTCTCTCGCTCGCTGTCGTAGCCGTATTGCCGTGTTTTGCGTATCGGCTTCTGCTGTGTCGGAAGCGTAGGTGGGAATGAGCAGCTGAAACTCCCCCGCAGGTCGCCGAAATACCAAAATTCGGACCACGAAGTAGAAGTAAATGGTAATAACGGTTTTACACAGTTGCCCGTTGCTACAATCTGGATGAATGAGATACACTGAGGTCTCAACTGTCAGTAGAAATGCATTGAAAATAAAGTAGTATTTTTAGTAGATCGAATGTAATGCGATTACTACTGAAACTTATTCGACCGGGATTGTGCTCATGGACTTGGTACCGTCATGTCAACATATTCGAAATTTTCCAGTGAGAATGGTATTCTGATTCATATCCATTGTCGACATAACCATCGTCAACAGAATTTACGAGCGAAGTACAAGTAAGAATTCACTGAACTGAGGAACCAGTCGACGCGTGGATAGGTTTTACACGAGGAAATTTCACTACTAGGTCTATCCTCCATCAATTAATTGAATACTGGTTCGTGGAGCCTCTTGTGCAGTACAGTTTATGTCCAGATCCATTGTTTAGAAGGACATCTCAGCGGCCTTTTGTAGCTTCCGACCGATACACATAATACCCTCCTATAATCACACCAGAAATTAGATCAATTTGAAGAGCGCTTAAGTGTTTAACTGAATTTTCTGCAAGTAAACTTCAAAAACGTTAATGCTGCTTAGTTAGCTTGCCAAGAACATAATATCTCTGTTATAAAACTGTCTCATGACAGCTGTAAATGGTTTTTGGATGCATATTATTAATAGTGAAATAATAAAAAAAGAGTAGTTCCTAATAGGCTTTTTTGAAGTTGAAAAACTGGCCAAATATTACATTATATATATGTATATATATATACATATGTAAATATATATATAGTAGACTTAAGAAAAAAAACCATTATCAAGGTTCCTATTTAAAGGCAGTATCTACTGCTCTGTTCCGCAGATTTACAGTTTATATGGCTTATAAGAGATAGTTGTACTTTTCAGCTCACTAATTATACACTTTTGTGTTATTACTATTATTATTGACGACAGAATGTGGTGCTAATTATTTATTATATATTTACGTTACTGTTTTCGATAATCTCTGACTGACATTAACGCGAAGCGGATAGTGGCCAATTCAGATATACCTGCCTTTCACAGATTATCGTTGCCAGTTTATTCAGTACTACCCATCGACACAAGCTACCGCTATTCGGTGTCAATGATAGTTCCGCTGTTGTTCGACTCGCCCACACGTGCGCTATCGATAGCCGCGCAAAGTCAAACACCGCTGTCTCTGTCATGGTTTCGTCCTATCGGCTTCAAAGCGACGGTTTAAGTCGAAAATAAGGACGGGTTATATGGGCGGTCCCTGGTGGCAGTAGTGGTGGCTTCATCAAACCCCTACAACATATCTCAGTGTGTACATCATATCTATGTAACGAATGGAAAAGAACGGGTCTGAAAGCGCTCCTCTCTTTCTGGCTCCTTTTCTTTGCCATCGTCCATTGGATGAACATGAATAAAAGATACGATTCGTATTACGTTCGTTAACGCCACAGGACGAAAGATAACGTGATATGGGACAGCGTTACTGGGCCTTAGTCGGTCATTTCGGGATCATCAAGTGACACCGAACCGCTGGTCGTTTTTTGAATGATTAACAGGAAAATCATCACCGAAGCGTTGGGTGGCACGAAACTGTTTCTGTTGGGCAGCTAAAATGCTAATAGAACCGGTTTGAGAATAACCTCTGTAATTGAAAAAGCCCTCTCTAATGTTAACAGACAACATTCGTGACGGAAGTAAGTGGTTGGAGATGATGGAAAAAATAAATTTAGTTCACGTACACAATCATACATCCACATAAGACGTACACAAACACACATACGCTCTATACCATTGTAGTAGTTGTTCTGGTGCGTTTGGACTTGGATGAGCTTTTTTTAACTTCTTATTGGTATTTTTAGGGGGCGATCAGATCGTAACAACTGGCTGGAAACGCGCACGCGTTACATCAATGAGCGTATTATATTCAATTTTTAAAAACTGCTTTTATTATAGCATGTAGAGTTGCTCCAAGAACTTATTCCATGGAAGCTAAAGAAAGCATCTGTGAAATTCAAAACTTACAACAAACATTAGTTATAGCAAACAGGCGAACCTACCGCGGCTGAACTTAAAGTACCTCACATTCGATCAGCATTAAAGGTTTTCCTTACTTTAAAGCCACATATCTTAGGTAATAAGGGTCGCGTCGCGTAGCGGGGCAGCGTCGCTATGCTTGAAGCTTGACATCTGACAATACTAAATGTACTAAGATTGTTGGCATGCCTTTATTCGAAATCAAGATAGAGTGTACTCAAGATGAGTAAAATTCGTGCAGAAGTTCATTATATTTTACAATTTTATTTCGAAAAAAGCACAAATGCTGTCCAGGCCCATAAAACAAGTGCCTCTTACGATCCAGACGCGCTATCTGAAGAAACAGCCCAAAGATTGTCCTCCAGTTTTTGTTCAGGACATTCCGATGTGGAAAATGTATCTTTGACGAAATGAAATTGGTGAAATGATTGATCAGCAGGTGAGTGGCCATTTTCCAGTTTCAAACTTCTTTGAAAGGAGCTGGCTACAGAGAAAGATAGGTATTCAGGTGGCGCACGACTCGATGCAGAAAAAATACTCGATTATATATCTATCTGCGAAACTCTGTACCATTTTCACGGCGCATAACTGTCGGTGCTGAGAAGTGTATCATTTACCACACTGATGGAAGCTAGGGAATGATGTTTTGTGAGTTGCTGCCATCTGAAAAAATGATTGATACTATCATCAGCTAATAGGATTATAGCAAGGTATTAAACAAAATTGACCCAAGCTAGCAAACAAAAGGGACGCCTCTAGACCACATACATATTTAGCCACTTGACGAAAATTGTGAGCGGTGGGATTGGAAATTTTAACGAATCTGCTGTATCACTCGCACTATCTGTTTCGGTCTTTATAAAGCTACTCCGTTAATTTGGTTTCAATCGTTTCAAAATTTACTTGTCACTATTTTTACAGAATTTTTACAATGATGAGACTACGATCTTACCAAAAATAACGAAAACTCATTATTTACGATAGCACATATTTCGTTTACTAATATTGGTGTCAATATGAAGGACAGTTTTGAAACTGTCTGTACTTTTTTGAGTATCTAATATTCATGGTCTTTCTTTATATATGGTCTTCTCTCTATAACCACCAGCTTCATGAAGGCGTTGACGAAGAATGCGACTGTTAATCTGATTAATGAATTAAGTTTGTGCATTGACATACGACGTTGGGGGTAAAGATTTATTCCAAGGTATCACTGTTACCATCTGAGAGGGGACGGAGGGAAAACATCTGATGGCAGAGGTCTTCAAACAATAACACTAACTTTTTCTATAAATAAAAAAATTTGACAATCCTTCTGAGATAATGCTAGAATTCGAATGACGCTTATCAGGCAGAAAACGACTCGTTGATTATTTCACGACAAGGCCTTCCTAATAAGACATAGTAAACCTTAAGTGGTTTTGTTATCGTTTTTGTCAAGACAACTGATGAATTTGTTAGTATCTACAAGCTGCCAACAATAAACTATTCGTATAATCGGCGCACTCTCTGCATAGGAAACGTTAGCCGAAAAAAAATCAGACCATTTTTATTTGAAGGACACTAATCATACATATGTTGTCAAATACAGTTACTGATGTGTGCACTGAGACATGTTTTCTTTTACTGGACGTCAGATCATCGATAGAACACAGATGCCTAAAGTGTCAAATGTTAGATACATAGTTCTGAATACCTAACTACTCTTTGAAGTTAACGTACAATGTAACCGCGGCCAGCTGAGAGTGATTGTTTGATGTATGGAACTAAGCAAAAAAAGAGGCCAAAAACAGGAGAGATACCGTACCTGAAAGGACGCGTTCGCCCTTCTCTGCTGGCAGGAATGATCAAGAAAACATTTATTGAAAAGCGATGTTAGCGGAGCCAAAATATCCTTGTGACTACGAAATGTCTCATCTAATCCTTCGAGAATCGTCTTGGAACATTTCATTTTCGTACATAAAATTAAAAAATAAAGCATATTTTTATCAACACGTAGCTAGCGCCCGAATATCTCCCATTTCAAGACGACGTACCTCCAAGTAACTTGTATTCGTATATTTATTAATAGGCTCTTGTCGATTATGTTTAATTGTAACAGCGAGTAAATATTTTCTTGAGGCACCCTAGTCACGATATCTTCTCCTTTCGCAGGTACCGTTCTGTTTGCGATGTGCTACCTGTTAAAAGTAATCCTGCTTACGGGTGCTCTCGCCCTCCCTGCCAGCCCTGCGCCACTGGGGTCGCCGGAAAAAAATTCTCTCTCAGGATCGTCGACTAATTCATCGTTGTCCAGAGCTCCGACAGGAACCGACACACAAACCTCATCCTCATTAAAAAAAACATCTTCTCAAAGAGGCGTCTACGTCAATCAGGTAACAAGAAAAAACTTTTTATATTTAAATCTGTGGCTAATGATCTCGAATTCAGTGGCCGAGTCACTGTATAGTGTTCATAATTGCAAGCGATAACAAGACATCATCAGGAGCGGCATTTTGAAAGAGCCAGAGCTTTTCAAGCGAATAAGTTGAATACTCGTGGTCGCCCGTTCTCTTGCATTACTGCTCGCTAAGCCCGTTGCAACTAACACAGAACGCAGGCTATCTTTGCATAAGTTGCTTTACGTTGGTACATTACTAACGTATTGTGAGCTCAATATGTCGTATTTTACTTTATTATTTCGATATGGGAAAAACCTCTTATTGTTGACCTGCAGCGATACGGGATATTTACGTGATCTACTACTTTATTCTAATGATAGTTCTAGATTTAGAACAATAGGTTGGTAGACGCTTCTAGATATTTATGTTTTTACCTAAGTCCGACTATGGTGATAGACTAAACACGCACGGCATATTATATTTGGAGTAACAAAATCAAGAATCTCGTTACCGGGACCATTGGTAAGGTATAGAGGTCTTCTATACCCATACAAATATATGATGTGATAACTCACATAGGTAAACGCATATTGCTAGAAAATATTTACACTATAAGACCAAACGAGGATAAAATAATGGGCGCAATTTGTCTCAGCTTAAATCATCTTCTATTTAAGTGTTAGCGTCGTACTTCCACAGAATTGATTGTATTATAGATTGAATTTGAGAACCTCAATGAATCGGTTCATCATGATTTCACTGAGTCATGGAATCTCAATGTCTATAATTTCATAATTTGGTAAAATTACCCCTTTTGCTTTCTGCTTCTGAGAGGAATATCGCACACAAACAACATACATACAGATTTGTTTTTCACTATTTTTTTTTTTTTTATCACTTCGGCGTACAGGTCGTGTTTACGAGAGCTTCGCCGCCAACACGATCAACACTGGAAAACGAAGCAGCCGACGCATTTGAGTTACCAGAAGAGGTAGAGTTCGCTTCTAAATATATCATTTGCTCTAGATTGAATAGATAGATATCTTATTACGAGTTGGCTTAATATAAGGTCAGGTTCGTATTATGTTGTGTGCTAAGATACGTGACACTTGCCGATCTCAAGGCTCATAAGCCTAGTCATGGCTAATAGTAAAATATAGTTTGAATAAAGAACGGCCTAAATATGTCCAGTCAAATGGCTTTGCGTTCTAGAAGAGTCCATCGTAGGTGTAATAAATTAAGCTAACGGTTGGACAATCGTAGTGAAAACATTGAAATGAGTCTTTTCAATTTCATATTCAAATTTTCAATAAAATAAATCAAATGAATAATTGAAAATAAGTTATATATA